TTTTTTTTTTTTTTTTTTTAGTGTTTGTATTTTATTTATTTTGAGAGAGAGTGTGTGTATACAAGTGGGGGAGAGGCAGAGAGAGAGATAATCTCATGCAGTCTCCACACCATCAGCACAGAGGCCTATGAGCAGCTCCAACTCACGCACTGTGAGATCATGACCTGAGCCAAAATCAAGAGTCAGACGCTCAACCAGCTGAGCCAACCAGGGGCCCCAACTATGTGTCTAGATTCTTAATGCAGTAGAAAGAACTTCCAGTTGTAAAATTCCCTTTTTTCTCCTAGTAGTTTGAAATGCCACTGAGGTCCTAGGCTTCAGCAGTAGGGCTGTACATCTAGGGATTATGCTTTGGGCCAGTTGGAAGAGGGAAAGATGCTACCCATGCACCTGCAGGCATGCTGCAACTTTGGACAGAAGTGAATGTCCTGCTTGTGTGAGGGGATGATGGTGTTCCCTGTAGCCTAGCTCTAACCCAAGGCTTTGATTGCATTTGCTTGAGTAGATTTTTCTTCTCTTATGTGAAAATAGTTGGTTAATTACTGTCATTCAGAGGGTATTTAGTCATTCAGCCACAAATGTTTTTTGAGCACTTGAGTTTTTGGGGTGGAGGGTAGATGAGGACCATAAAATTTGGGTTTTTGAAGTATAACATGTATTCAGTAAAGTGTACTCAAGTGTACTGCTTGTTGGATTTTTACATGTAAATATACCTGTGTAACCACAACTTTCAGATCGAGATGGAGATATTTCTAGCATCCCAAAAGCTTCCCTCACGCCCTTTTCTGATAATATTCATACCTGCCCCCCCCGCAGTCCTCCCCAGCATTATTTTGACATCTAACGCCAAAAATTCATTTTGCCTTTTCTTGAACTTTAAGTGGAATCCTGGAGAATGTAGTGTTTTGTATCTGGCTTCTTTTATTCAACCTTATGATTGTGAGATTCATCCACCTTGTTGGGGACCATTGATTATTAACTGGTCACGTGACCCTGCTAGGAAGAGACCTAGAATAATCACATATGATTTACGCCATTGAGGACTGACATTCATTTATTCAGCATACGTTTACAAGTGCCATTATACCAGGTGCTTTGCACAGGCCTTGGGATCAAAGATAAATAACTTCTTGCTATCAGGGGGCTTTGAGTCTTGTGAAGGAGATGGACACTTACCCACATAATTATGAGAGTGAAGAATTGGTCGCCTTTTAGGGGTGAAAATGGTTTTTGAAAGACTTTATAGAGGAGGTGAAATTTCTTCTGATAGTCTCAAAG